GAAAGAGATGGGAGGGGTTCGCAGCAATGATGGATGGGGTGAAAAACTATGATTTCAAAATAGATGTATTTCTCCCTGTTTCCTTTGATGGGATCTCTTAGCTGGATGCTCTGACTTCATGTGGTTGAGTGTGAATGGGAATCTTATTTTGTCCTACTTGCTAAATATTGTCATGACCAGAACAATCCTATGAAGCATTTCTTTCTCTTCATCTTACTTTACTCTGGGTGATCAAATCTTCTGCTTTGAGGTATAACTTGCCAGCAGCAGAAGGGCGAAGGCACAGAAAAACATGCATGTTCTGTCTCTGGTGTTGCATATTATACTTCCTCAGCTGAAAGCAGGTATGGATTGTGCAGTGGTAGCTCACCAGTCTGAGCCATAGGGATGGGAGAACTGGGATGGATACTGCAGTGATCCGAGGTTTTTGTTTTGTTTTTTTTTTTTTTTTTTTTCTTTTAACTGATAATCCTGGTTTCCTGTCTTTCAGAGGGGAGTAGGGATCAAGAGCACACCAGTGACTATTGTTCTGCCGGACACCAAAGGAAAGTCTTTTCTCTTCAACATCATTGACACTCCAGGTGATTGTGTAATCCTGAAAATCCTGGTTTGGGATGCACTTAGCTGAAGGCAGCTTGATGTGTGGAGCAGATACATGACCATGTGAACCAAGGTTTCTCTTGTTAATAAACCCCTTTGGTCCGCTGGGTAGTGCTGTTGACAGAGTAGAGCAGTGAAAACATGTACCATGATGGTTAATGAGAGCCTTCAAAGAGCTTTTGTGTTTGATTGTGGTGGGATTGTGTAGTATTGGATCTCAGAAAAACAAGGAATCTATACCCTGAAACCTCACTGATTCTTCTGGAAATGTCACTTAGGTGCAGTGAAACCCTGGGAAATTTTCTTTCACAGATGGAAACCCATGTTTTGTTTTGTGGTTTTTGTAGATGATTCCAGCCTCGTTCTGAGCCTTTAGCTAAGTTCCTTCTCTGAAATCACTTCCAGCAATGATGACTGTGCAGCTGGCTTTTAGTTAGCCTTGTGTTTCTGATTAGCCAGTCTAATTGAGGGCTAATGGGGTAGAAAATGTGTTTGACTGAAGTATACCAGAAGCACATGTAGCATTGGATTTTCCAGGTATCACCATGCACAGTGGGGACTGTGGATTTCTCAAATGCTCTTGCCCCACAGTGAGACTCAGCAGTTCCCTTGAGCCTCTGACAAGCTCCTGTGGGGGGAACATAATCATGGATCAACTTGTTGTAAGAAACCAAGGCCAAACTTTAAGAAAGAGGTCTTGGGACACATCTGTTGAGTTACAGCTCAAGATGAGGGAGGTTAGAGCGCAGGAGGAGACTGGAGGGAGAAGCATCTGTTGTTCTTTGGTGAGAAGTAATCTTCCTCCTTTTCCTGAAGTACTTGCACAGAGCTGTGAGAAAAACAGTAACGAATGTGAGGAAAAGTGCCTGTTAAATGAGTTGTTGTGTTTATTCTCAAAAAATAGCATTAAAGCTGAAACGACTCCCTATACGGAGCCCTGGCAGCCGCTCCTGGGTCCCTGTCTGAGGAGGGAGCCGTCTGTGGTCTGCCTCTCTGGATACCAGTGACCAGAGCAAGCTATAGAGCAGAGGGATGGCTTTCCACCCTCTGCGCTGCTGGTGTCTGGACTGACTCTGGTTCTCACTACTGTTTTGTGTTTTTGAAGGTCATGTCAATTTTTCTGATGAGGTGACAGCTGGTCTTCGTATTTCGGACGGCATTGTACTTTTCATTGATGCGGCTGAGGGGGTGAGTGCCAGGTTCTCCTGGGGGTTAACTTCAAAATCTCTTCCTCTGGAATCTTTGATCCTGCCTCAGCATGAAGGCCTGGGATGCGTTCAGCTTTCTGTGGTGAAGGGTTTTTGGAGGACAATTTGGGAAGTGAGAGTGTTTTCCAGCCCAAAGAGGGAGTCAAGCCTCTGACTTCTGTGTCCAGGGCTGACGTGATGCATGTGACCTGTAGGCTGGTTATCTAACTTGTTTGCATCTCCATCCCCATGACACCTAAAATTGAGCAGGTTATTTATATCAGAGATGTCTGAGGGGTAGGATTCCAGGAATTCGGTTGGGTTAGCACCTACTTCTAAATTTCACAAGATTAGCTGATCATTGGCGGCTGAGCTTAAGCTTTTTTACAGACTTGCCGCCCTGCGTGTAAGGGTCACCGCTTTGACTCTCACGCCCTAGATAGCATTCTGTGGAGGGTTTTCGCTAGAGGTGTTTGTGCTCATTGTTCCCTGCAGGTGATGCTGAACACGGAGAGGCTGATCAAGCACGCGGTGCAGGAAAGGCTCGCAGTGACCGTGTGCATCAACAAGATTGACCGACTGATCCTGGAGCTGAAATTGCCCCCTACAGATGCTTACTACAAACTCCGACACATTGTAGATGAAGTTAATGGTCTGATCAGGTATGGGTGTTTGGGATGATGCATCGTTAGTACTTCTTGTCCCTGTTCTATTGCAGGTGCTTTTTTTTTCCTGTGAGCCCTGTGTATGCCTAAGAACTCATGAGTTTGTCTCTTCATATGTTGAATCATAGAAAATGGGGCAGGAAGAACCATTAGAAATTCATCTCAGCTAATATATTGAATTACACTGGAAGGGCCAATCCTGTCTGAATTCTGACAAGCTTCATGGGATCAGCTCTTTTTCCCCCATTAAAAAGTAGGAAAGTGGACATATGACTGGAGCAGGGAACTTCAGTGCTCCCAAATACACTGAGATTGTCCCAAATTGTAGGCTGAGATGTCTCAAAGCTCCTAAACTTTTGTTACAAAACTAATAGGAACTTGCTGTCCCAACCCCTAAACAGAGACTATAACATTGTTACAGTCAAATCTCCTTGCAAGACCCTGCTCAGAGAAGGGAGCGACACCTTCTCTAGCTTTCACAGTAGCAATGCATCGTTTCTGTGGGTTTTTCTGCATCCAGGTGATTTTCTCAACAGCATTCTTCCCTTCAGTTTGTGTGCATCCACACCATAGTCTGAATAACCCCAAACTGAGTTTGCACATGAACTCACTTGCTTGTCTCTCTGTTCAGTTGCTACTGGCATCAAGCAGCTCGGAGCAGGATAATTTATCCCTACGTTATTTGCCTTGTATTATCTTTTCTCTTGCTTGGTTGGCCAAGTTTGCTGTCTTTTTTTAGGGGAGGAAAAACTCTACCTGACAAAAAAATACAAAGCACTTGTGCTGATAAATTTTTAGTTCTAGGCTTGAAATATTTCTTTGCACACTTAACCTTTGCAGTTTGTAGTCATAAAATGATTCTGACCCTGAAGTTCCGATGGCAAGCCTGCTGCAGCCAGTTGTAAGATGCTATTTGGCAACGTAGAATCCTTGTCTATCACATACTGCTGTTTGGTGTGGGAAGTGGATTTAAGTGTCTTCCTTGGTTTATAACATTGATTGTATTTTTTTTTTCTTGTCTCTAAAAACTGTCTCCTCTCAGCATGTATTCCACCGACGAGAACCTCGTTCTGTCTCCCCTTCTGGGGAACGTGTGTTTCTCCAGTTCACAGTACAGCATCTGCTTCACGCTGGGATCTTTTGCAAAGATTTATGCAGACACATATGGTGAGGATTATCCAGAAACCTTGTACACTTTAACATCTCATTTCCTAACCTATTTTGTTGAGGCTTTCTAAACCCTTCAGCTTTGGCTTTCACTGCACATATATGGCCAGTATATGTGCTCTAGAATTTCTTGGAGTTGAGAGTTACTGCAGATCTGAGCCCTGGGTGGTAAAAAGCAAAAATACAGTTCTAACTTGTTTTTAGCTAGATAGTTTCTCCTAATAAATATTTCTTGAATCAGAAGCCAGTATTTTATGTGTACCCTTAAGCAGAAAAAACAAGTCCCGCTATGGCAATTGAAGGCAAGTGTGTGTGTTCTGCTTTGCCTCCTTATCAGAACAGCTCAGAAGCGAAGCAGTTAAGTTCTGCCTGCCTTTTCACAGAAGTCTCCAGAGTCTGAGACTCAGCTGTAGCCAGGCACAAGCTTGGCCCACAAGGTTTTGCACTCTTGCCCTCTTTCTTTTTTAAGAAACTGCCTTTTTCTGGCTCTGATTTAATTTTCTGTTCCCCAGGTGCCCACTCAAGGCAATCTGCCACTTGTAAAAGTGGGCCTTTTGCTTGCATTAGCCAGCTGTACGGCCAAGATTTTTGAAGTCTCACGCTGGGGAATTTGGGGTGATCTGTAGGAGCTGTGAGCAGGGGAAGAAGGATGTTGTAAAGCAGCTGGCCTAGCTCTTGCAAAGAAGTTAGCCTGAGGGAGGATGAAGCTGTAGAGGTCAGGGAGTGATGTGTCAGGACTATGGTGTGTCCTCGTGAGTTTGGAGAAATAACTGTGCTCCTTGGGTGTCGCAGCATTAACTCAATGCCTGCTAGGATGATACCCCTTCTTTGGGGGGCTGACAAAGATGCAGGCACAGTTGGTAGGAGATGCCATCCATGTGGAGCAGACAGGAGCTGAACAGGTACTTGAAGTCAGTAATATTTGATTATGGCCACCAGGGATTTTATGTGCAGCCACCACAACTAACATGAGTTATAGTAGTTTAACTGTCAAAACCACAGCCACCATGAAATTTCTTATGCTTGCACATCTGCCCACAGCAAAAACTTGTTTGGAAACTGCTGTAAATTATCACCGCTGTCTTATTATTTGTAAATCTACCATGACAGCCAAGCACTACACTATTCCTTCAGCATTTGGGTATTTGTCTATGCGCTTAGTGCATCAGCTGAAAAAGAGAAGAGAACCTGGAGATGTTCAGCATGGCTGAAAATGCTTGCAATAAGCCTGTGGGGCAGATGGGGTGTAAGCCATCCCAGCACCTTGGCACTGCAGTGTCAGGTTGCAGCATTAGCGTTTGGAAAATGAAGCAGATGTAACTGGGTTCCTGCAGCGTGGCGTCTGGCAGGCCAGCTCTTCTCAGCTCTAACCTTGTGTGTAATTGAAAGAGTTGAAATGTTCCTGAGAAGCAAGTCTGCGAACCCAGAGTGTACCCGGGCTGCTGCTGTCATCCTCGGTGGACTGTTTTCTGCCCACCTCTCTGCCTGGTCTCCCCAGGTCAGGGCTTAATCATTTATTCAGACTTGGAACCAAGCATTCACTCACCAGCATCAGTCCATTAAATTGAATCCTCAGGGTTGTTTTAAAAGCCAAAACCCAAAGATTTCCAAGATGAGAGTGACATCTGAGAGACTTTTGCCATTTGCTTCTTCCCTTTAGGAGACATCAATTATCAGGAGTTTGCAAAGCGGCTTTGGGGTGACATCTACTTCAACCCGAAGACGTAAGAAGCCTGTTTAAACATCTTGTAGTTTATTGCTGGGTTTTTCCCTCCTTTCCCTGTGAAACATGGACTAGATGGCCACCCAAGCTCCCTTCCAGCCTGAGTTGTCCTGTGATGGAGTAGTATCTGGGAAGGGTTGAGTCAGGCCTTCTGCTTGGTATGAATCCATGTGGTCCACCTGAAGCCCGTAAGCAGGAGCAGAAACCTCCTCTGACCTTTAGAGTAAGCGTGACTCCTGTGTCCCTGACAGCTTCCCAGGAGGATTGGGAGGGAGAAGAAGATAACCTGGGAAGAGCAGAGGCAGTGTTTGCAGTAGGGGTGCTTGCAGGCTGCAAAGTGCTTGCTCCTCATGTCTCCTTTGGTCTCCCAACAGCCGCAAGTTCACTAAAAAGGCCCCAACTAGCAGTTCCCAGCGCAGCTTTGTGGAGTTCATTCTGGAACCCCTGTACAAGATCTTGGCTCAGGTATGTGGTGGTTCATTCTCCTTCCCATAGTTCCAGATAGGAGCAGCCAAGGGCTGAACACTACGTGGTGGTGTGTCTGGTGCCTGTGGGACTTGCCTGTCCCGTTCTGCAGAGTGATCTTCACTGATCGGGTCGGGGGGTGCAGAGCAACAGTGAGCAACTCCTTAACAGTTGCTTCTTGCAAATACAGCCTTGTATTTGCACAGTTAATAGAACTGCCTTTGCTCTTTCTAGTGTGCTTTAATATCAGCCAAGTGATAATTTGAACCAGCCAGCCAGTTCTCATGTGAGCTCTAAACCAGAGCAGGTCAAGAGCCCTGGCAGTGGCGGCTAGTATGTGAAGCTGCACCTGGGAGTTACCTGCTTGAACCCCCTGCAGCAAAGCTGAGAGTGGTGCTTGTCATCTTGCAGGTGGTGGGGGACGTGGACACGACCCTGCCCAGGACTCTGGATGAACTTGGCATCCACCTGACCAAAGAGGAATTGAAATTGAACATTCGGCCCCTCCTGCGGCTTGTCTGCAAGAAGTTCTTTGGGGAATTCACAGGTAAATGCTGTTTGTCTTCCCCTTCACAATCTTCCCAATAGCCTAGTCTCGCATCACCAGAGGTAAGGGCTGTATTAGAGCCATCCAGTGCTCACTTGCACAGATCCCTTCTCAGCTTTCCAAATACAAAATATTAAGGCATTTGCCCAAAGGAGACAGCTTGAGACACTGCTCACATCTTCCCATTGTTGTGGGTGCACTACAGTCAGAATGGGTTTTCCTTGTATTTATTGGAGTCCATTTCTTTCCTCTACACTGCTTAATCATGTTCTCATGAAGTATTACTTCTCCAGGCTTCGTGGACATGTGTGTGCAGCATATCCCCTCCCCGAAGGTGGGAGCCAAGACGAAAATTGAGCATACCTACACTGGTGGCGTCGACTCCGATCTAGGGGAGGCCATGAGTGAATGCGACCCTGATGTAAGGAAACTCTTCTGCTTTGCTCTGAGTGTCCAAAAGCGTGGTAAATATGCCCTCCTTTCACTGCCTTGACAGGGCAGCTGCCTCCTAGACAGCCATCTGCACAGATTTGACTTCCAGCATTTTGAAACCTCTCATCCGATACCGAAACAAATCTCTTCACTCTGAGAAACTTTAGCTGCCTGCCAGGGCAGCCCTTGAGAGAGGGAATTGTTTGACAGTGTTCAGAAAAGAACAGGACTAGGTCAGGACTTCAGAGCACATGGGAACTGTGGAGTGATTTTGTGTCCTTTTGCTGCCTTTTGTCCCTTTTCCTTGAAGTTTGATTCTCTTTCCAAACTCTGATAAATATACTGATAAAAATAACCCTACATTAGTTAGTCAGCACCTTTTGTATCAAAGCCTTGCAAAAACCTTCCTCCTCAAACAGCTTGTACTGAGCTGTCATTCAGAGTTGTCTAGAGCCACCAACGCCAGCCAGCAGCTAGGGAGGAATTTGCCCGTGACTTTTCCTCTAATGTCTGGAGAGAAAAGGAGTCGCTTATTTTAATGAATTGTGATTACCCACATGAAACCATGCAGTGGTGATTGTCACCAGATCACCATTGTGGAGTGACCTTTTGGGACAGAGAGGTTGGGTGCTCTGCCCTGAGCTGGTTTGCAGGCCAGCAGATGACATTCCTTCTCATGGCCTTGTCCCAGCCACTATTTACTATTCCACGAGAGGAGGGAGGAGAGCTCCAGAAAAGTCCACCAAAGTCATTCCAGGGGTCTCCATACAGGGCGAGGAGATGTAAGGCTTCCTGTGGAAGGAAATGAAGGACTTTGCAAGTTAGAAGTATTTCTAAATTCCATCCCATTAATCCCTTTGTATCCATGAGTCCTACCAGGTCTGTGTCTGTTTGCTGACTGTATTTTGAAAGAGGTTTATTTTTCTCTCTGTCTCTCCCTCTCCTGCAAAGGGTCCGCTGATGTGTCACACAACAAAAATGTACAGCACAGACGACGGCGTTCAGTTCCACGCCTTTGGCAGAGTGCTCAGCGGTACTATCCATGCTGGGCAGCCTGTGAAGGTCCTTGGAGAAAACTATACCCTGGAAGATGAGGAGGATTCCCAGATCTGCACTGTCGGACGCCTCTGGATCTCGGTTGCGAGGTACGGAAAGCTCTGGCAGTATGTTCATTTGGGAGAGGACTTACATGGAGTTGTTGCTGCTAGGGTCAGGGAGGACAGCGCCGCAAGGGGCCTGAGGCTGGCAGCAGCGTGCGCTGCAGTGATGCTCCCCTGCCTTTTAGGTATCACATTGAGGTAAACCGGGTTCCTGCTGGCAACTGGGTGCTGATAGAAGGAGTGGACCAGCCCATAGTGAAGACTGCAACTGTCACGGAGCCTCGGGGCAATGAGGAGGTACTGTGCGTAGCTGGTATCGCTCAGCCTTACAGGGAGTCAAGGTGATGGAGCGCATCCCAAAAGCTCCAGTGGTGAGGTTAAAGAAACATTGTCTGCCCAGGTGCCAGTTTTAAAGAGAAGAGCTTTAAACGTGGCGTCTTAACTCCAGTGGCCAGCAGAGATTCAGCTCTTTGTCCTTATCTGATTTCAGGCTCAGATCTTCCGTCCTTTGAAGTTCAACACTACATCTGTCATCAAAATAGCTGTAGAGCCAGTCAACCCTTCGGAGCTCCCCAAAATGTTGGATGGTCTCCGCAAAGTCAACAAGAGTTACCCCTCGCTTACTACTAAGGTATTTGTGGTGTATGTATGGCTGTTTACAGCTCATGCTGTGAGCTACCTTGTAGCCTGATCTTAAAAGTAAGTATTTAGGGCTGTGATCATGTACCTGTACTCAGTGCTAGTGAGGCCGCACCTTGAATGCTGTGTTCAGTGTTGGGCCCCTCACTACAAGAAGGACGTTGAGGTGCTGGAGAGTGTCCAGAGAAGGGCAACGGAGCTGGGGAGGGGTCTGGAGCACAAGTCTGATGAGGAGCGGCTGAGGGAACTGGGGGTGTTCAGTCTGGAGAAGAGGAGGCTGAGGGGAGCCCTCATCGCTCTCTGCAACTGCCTGAAAGGGGGTTGTGGTGAGGTGGGGGTTGGTCTCTTCTCCCAAGTAACCAGCGATAGGACAGGAGGAGATGGCCTCAAGTTGCACCAGGGGAGGTTTAGATTGGAGATTAGGAAAAATGTCTTTACGGAGAGAATGACCAAGCATTGGAACAGGCTGCCCTGGGAGGTGGTGGAGTCACCATCACTGGAAGTGTTCAAAAAATATATAGATGTGGCATTTCAGGACATGGTTTAGTGGGCATGGGGGTGTTGGGTTGATGGTTGGACTTGATGATCTTAAAGGTCTTTTCTAACCTTAATGATTCTATGATTTTTTTACTGTGAGTTGTTTTCTTTGCTGTTTTTATTTTTCCCCACACTGTTGCAGTTGTTCTCGTAAGTCATGTGGAAATAGCAGAAAACTGTAAATCCAGCAGAAAAACACACACCTTGCTGCGTTGGGAAAGCAGCTTTCTGCAGAGCACATCAGCTCTTTCTGCTAGAAAAGGCCGTGGGAGCTTTCCTTGGGGTGCTCTGATCCTAACCAATTTATTTAAAGCTGATATTTCCTCAGGCTTGTGTTAGGAGCCTGGAAGGCAAGGGCTTCTGAGCAGTAACGCTGTCAGTTGAACCCTTCTCTTAAATTTCAGGTGGAAGAGTCTGGGGAGCATGTGATCCTCGGGACGGGGGAGCTTTACCTGGATTGTGTGATGCATGATTTACGGAAGATGTATTCAGAGATTGATATCAAGGTGAGGAAATTATTTTCCCAGCTGGGGAGTGGGTTTTGTCCCCCTATCTCAGAAGAATGGAAAAAGAAACCTAGCTGAATGTACAATGTGGATTTTGTCATGTCCTTTTAAAAGGAGAAAAGAGGCTGCTAGGATGTAAAAGTAACTCTTACAGCCTGACTGTGTCACACTATTGTGATTGAGAGCCTGAAAATTGGCTTGGAGAGGGGTGTGTGACCATGTTCCAGCCTTTTCCTTCTTCAGCCATTGCGTGGCTAGCATTAAATAAATAAATTGAGCAGAATTTTTCATACCTGGAATTAGGTTTAAATGTTCCTTGTCTTGTTTGAATGAAGGAATTAGTAAAGCTGTCTGTGCAGGACTCAGCAGTTCATTCGCAATGCTTATTAAAACACTGGCAGATGAACCATTTTTTTCTTGTAGGTGTTGAAAGGTTGCAAATAGTCTCTTTAAATGCAAAAAAGTACTCAAAAACCTTACAAAGCTGTTGTCCTTATTCCAGGTTGCTGATCCAGTTGTTACATTCTGTGAGACAGTGGTGGAAACATCCTCCCTAAAGTGCTTTGCTGAGACACCCAACAAGAAGTAAGAGCCAGTGGGTGAGCTGGGCATTGGAGACAGGCAGATGGAGGGGTTCACTGGAGACTAGACTTCATCCCCTCCAAGGATTCTGCTCTCGGTGGCTGTTGTCCAGATGAGTGGTGTGTGCCTGAGTTGGCAGCCTGCTGTTGCAGCAGCTCTGCTGAGCTCCTCAGTAACACACTTGAGTCCCAGGGATGTTTCTGTGCTTTGTAGGAACTGTCAGAATGGAGGGAATACAGACAGATCCACATCTTCCATTCTTTTAGCTAAATTTCACACCTTCTCAGCAGTTTCATGGTGTTTCCAATACTAGGAGATGTATTTGGATCCTAGAGCAGGTGCAAAGAGACCAGTGGTGCTTTCAGTGACTCCCCAAATGTTTCATATGCAAAAGCTTTGTCTTCTCTTATCCATTCTTAATCTTGAAATGGATTTTTTCCCTACTGGTGGTGCACTGGAGCCTTATAGCCTGGTCTCATCTTCCTCGTGCAGCAATGCATTATGAGATGCACATGTTTGAAAGAGGGACGCCTGCTAGGGAACATAGGCTGAACAACCAGGATGAAATGTAGGAGCACAGGACATTTTAATGCCTGAATTTTCAGGGAAATCATGATCCATCATATGCTGAAAATGGCTTTCCCCTGTTCCCTTGTGGCTTCTGGTTCTTCTTGCCCTCCTTATTCTGGTATACTTTCTCCATGGCTGGCAGCCTCATTTTTGGGAACAGAAAAGTTCCAGTCTTAGGTCAGTCTTTGAACTGTTTGGCATGTGGAGTGACTGGCTCTGGGGGCAGGTTACATGCGTTGGTGAGGTTCTCCAAGGCAGCATCCTGTGTGTCGGACACAGTGAGTGCTGGCTGTGATAGAGGCGTGTTGCCTGGCCCATGGGCTTCCTTCTGCAGCCTGGAGGAGCACTGGATGCCTGGCAGGAGGGATGGAGCCACGCTGTCCCATAGCAATCTGCCTCTGGAGATGAGCAGACTTCGGAGAGCAGTTGTTAAGTGCCTGGGCCGTCTTTACAAGCAAGACGGTAACAGCGAAGGACATGGATGGCTTCATCTCCCTGGCTGTGTTCAAGGCAGTGCACAGCCCCTCAGGTCTTGCCAATTACTCCCATTTCCATCATTCTGCGGACTAATTGCAACTGTCTCTCTTTGCAGGAACAAGATCACAATGATTGCTGAGCCTCTGGAGAAGGGACTCGCAGAGGACATTGAAAATGAAGTGGTCCAGATAACATGGAACAGGTATGACCGATCTGGGGAGAACAGGAATCCATCTAGAATCAAATAATTATGAAAAAAAGGTAATGTTGGGGTCTGTAAGGTGCACAGTATCAGCCAGCAGCCTCTAGCTAGCCACCAGCTAGTTGTGAGCATCCCTGCCCCAGCAAAAGAGTTGCTTCAGGGAAAATGCTGAGACCCTTTTATGCCTGAACGGAACAGGGTTGTAAATATGTTGTGAGTGCAGGTCAGATACTTGTTTCCTAAAGTTTCTTCCCTTCTTCTATCAGAAAGAAGCTGGGTGAGTTCTTCCAGACGAAATATGACTGGGATTTGCTGGCTGCCCGTTCCATCTGGGCCTTTGGGCCAGATGCCACTGGCCCAAACATCCTAGTAGACGATACGCTGCCCTCAGAGGTGAGAATTGTGGGCAGGGGTGTTATGTTTCAGTGAGACGTTTGTCCTGTGGTGCCAAGAGGTGACTGCTCCTTCCAGAACCTGCAGCAAAGGTCCTAATGCTGTTGGAGGGCTCGTTGGTTTGCCAGATCTCAGATCTGCTGTACTTTCTCCACCATAGTTCTACACTGGCTAGCAAATAGCCTGTTATTTTTCAGGCATTGCTGTTTGTGCCAACGTCCTCAAAATTGGCAACTAATTGGCCTGCCTCTCAGGATTACCAAAATAGAGACTCTTCTAATTTATAGCTCTAGATGCCAAACTCTGAAGATGATGCTGTGAGAGGGAGGGATGGACATTTGGGGTGTCGGGGACACTGCTTCTCTTCTAGGAACTGGCTTTTAAACACTGGGGTCTGTTACTGCCTCATGATGGATTTGGTCTCTGAAGCTGTCTGTCTGTCTGTCTGTAGGTGGACAAGTCACTGCTGGGCTCTGTGAAGGACAGCATTGTGCAGGGATTTCAGTGGGGGACCAGGGAAGGGCCTCTCTGTGATGAATGTAAGTAGGACCTGCAGAGAAGTGGAGATAATAAGATCGATTAAGTTCTTCCATCTCTAAGCACTCAAGTGATTTTGCCGGTGCAGTCCCTTAGTGGCCAGTTCCATTCGCACGCCGCAGCTGGGGACAGCTCTGGGGACAGATGACAAGGGAGGTGACAGAACCTCCCCCTTTTTCCTGGCTGCAGATGCCACCCAGGCACTGGCACTTGCCGCCTGCCTACAAACTAGGGCCTGTTAGCTGGCAAGCTGGCTCCCCCAGACTGTGGCTCTGCTCCTCATACAGTTCAGATGCAGACCACTGAGCACCCTGGAAGATAAGCTGCTGAACTGCCTGTCGTGGATATGCAGGGTTAGGACATGGTCATGCCTTTCCTGCTGGAATTAAATTGAGGAGAACTTCTTCTGGTGGCTCTAGGTCTTTGTCTGGATGTTTGCCCAGGGTCTCAGGGGATGCAGGGTATGGCAGAGGACATCCCCCTTGAGTCACTTGCTGTCGTTTCTGCCCTTCCTCAGTGATCCGCAATGTGAAGTTTAAGATCCTGGATGCAGTGATTGCTCAGGAGCCCTTGCACCGAGGTGGAGGACAGATCATCCCAACAGCCCGGAGAGTGGTGTATTCCGCTTTCCTGATGGTGAGGACTACGCTGTGCTTGACAAAGACTGAACCTCGCGCTGTGCCAGCTCCTGTGGGCTCCAAGGAGTGCAGGTTGCATGTGTGCTGCACTATCTGCCCCAAGGATGTCAGTTTAAACGGACTCATTCATCCGTTAATGTTTCCAGCACCCTTGTGGGCTGGCAGACGGGATTTACAAGTGATCACGTTCCAGTCTGGCTGGAAACTTGTGTGCATCTGCTCTGTCTCCCCTTTTTGCTACTGTTTGGCTTGCTGGGAAGGGTGGGCGTGGGGGAGAGGGAAGCTTATGACTCATGGCCAGAAGGAGAAAAGCTCCTTTGAGTGTTTGTTTGATGTTGGTTTGGGCAGCCATGGGGCAGCAGGACCCCTTTCATCCCCAGTCAGGCGCTGTGTTTGACCAGAGCATGCCAGTCCCTGACACTTGCTTGAACAAAATTGTGTTGGTGCTTCTGGAAGCTCAGAGGCTTGTGTCCCTTTCTCCCCACAGGCCACCCCTCGCCTGATGGAGCCATACTACTTTGTGGAGGTGCAGGCTCCCGCCGACTGCGTGTCTGCAGTGTACACGGTCCTGGCCAGGCGGAGGTGAGCTGCTCTGACGAGCTGCCCTCACCTTAGTATTGCAAAGCAGCAACTGCTTACTTGGGATCTGTGTCGCTAGAGACATTCACAGCCCTAACACCACTTGTAAAGTGAGGGGAGAGGCTGAAATCCGTATGAAGTGGCAGCTGAAAGCTTCCTTGACTGATCCCAGCCCCTGTGTGGGGAGGGGATGTCCAGGATCACACGCAGCCTTTAGTTTGTGCCTAGTTCTTTCCTGAGTGTCAGAGAGAGGAATATATCAAGGGACATACAGGAAGACTAATCTTTTGATGTGTTGGCAGAGGCCATGTGACACAAGATGCTCCGATCCCGGGCTCCCCGCTCTACACCATCAAAGCCTTCATCCCAGCCATTGATTCATTTGGGTTTGAGACAGACCTGAGGACCCACACGCAGGGACAAGCCTTCTCGCTCTCTGTCTTCCACCACTGGCAGGTGAGTCCACGCCCTGGTGAGAAGTGGGAAGAGGGGCATGGTAGGATCAGGCACTGGGTGGGCACTCTCAATGGAGCTCTGTGCTCACACAGGGCAGGACAACTTCTCTGGAGAGTGTCTCGAGTTGGAGAGGCTTTGTACGCTAGCCGTTAAGTGTCTGCCAGAAGCCAGTGACTTTGTTCCAAGTCACGTCACCCTTTGCCCTAGCGAGGGAGCACTGAATGCTGCCGCTTGCTGAGCGTAAGGATCCCTTAGTGCCTGGGGAGAGGACATGCTCATCTGGGAGAAGGGAAGCTGTTTGGGTGCATCGGTGCTCTCCAGCTTGGGAAGCAGGGGGCTTGGCGAGCAGAGGGCCCAGACTCCTTGGTCTGCTGTGAGACACGGCTTGCCTTTACCTCTTTGAGAAGGCTTTTTAAACCTATGGAAAATGGGGTTTGGGACAAAATACTGTCCCCTGGCCACTTCCCTGACTGGTGCAAATTGAATTTTGTGGGTGCTACCACTGTGATCCTGTGAGATGCACAGCTACTTGTGGTACAGCCACGTGGGAGCAGCAGCAGCGCTCTGAGCCCCAAGAGCTGGCTGAAAGGTCAAGGTGTAAAAGCCCAAGGCTTGGCTCTGAAAAGAATGAACGTGCCTGATTTCAAGAGAGGATTGCGCTGACTGGGACCCACGTGCGTTGTTCTGGTTAGCGGGTTTTTAGAGGTCTTAGAGTACGCTGGCAAGTGGGGAAGGTGGGACGTGTTCTTGGCTTGGGTTAGAAACACTGTGTTAGTGACTTCTCGCAGGAGTGATCACAAGTAGTGACAGTTTTTCTGTGCCAGCAGAACAGGTGGGACTGTCACACCAAGGCTGGGGGTGTCCACAGGGCCCAGGGGTGTTTCCCATTGCAGTTCAGGCTCTCCCGGAGATTGAACAGCCCCCAGCATCGCTCTCATATCCTGGCCCTGTGTTTCAGATTGTGCCTGGTGACCCCTTGGACAAGAGCATCGTTATCCGACCCCTGGAGCCCCAGCCAGCCCCACATCTGGCCAGAGAGTTCATGATCAAGACCAGGCGTAGGAAGGTATGTCTGAGAGTAGTCCCTATAGCGTTGCTCTGTCCATCTGTACCAGCAGCTGAGCTGTTGCAGTGTTGTCCCTTGGGCATGCTGTGTCCCCTCTGTGTTCCCAGAGCGGACCAATGCCCTTTGTGCCTTGGGACTTCCCTCACTTTTGATCCCTCATGCTGCCTATTGGCACCTGTGATGGTTCCATGAGCGACTCATCTGGCAGTGACTCCAGCCAAAAGCGGGGTCCTGCAGCATCCGCTGAGCCCCGCTACCTCCCCAGCACCCATCTGACCCCTTGGTGGCCTGAGTTAGTCCATCTGTCCTGCAGAAAAAGCAGCAACTGGTGTCTGTGCTGGTTTAGTGAGCTGGACTGAGGGGTTGGAGGGGCACCTGGGGCTGCAGAGGGAATCAAGCTCCCCTTTGGAAGGGCAGTGAGCTGGTACATAACGCTCAGCAGCAGCAACCACATATTTGCAGCTTCTGAGAGACTGTTATATGTCTTCAAGCTGCTGAGCAATGCCTGATCCCTTGCAAATTCTCCTGGTTCCTCTGGAGCCTGGAAATTTATCTTACTACAGGTCATCAGGGCTTTTCTGTGGGATCTTTGCCACGATGGCTGACGAGTGCTGCCAAAGGAATAACCTCTGGTTTTGGGGTCACCCTGCAGGGCTTGAGTGAGGACGTGAGCATCAGCAAGTTCTTCGACGACCCCATGTTGCTGGAGCTGGCCAAGCAAGACGTCGTTCTCAACTACCCCATGTGAACGTGCTAGTGCGGCGTGAGGGCTGACCTGAGTCCTGGCCGGTGTCTGTCTGTCGTTCCTCATCCCAGCTTGCCCAGTCCTGGTCCTGGATGTGCAGGGCATGCAGGGAACCGCTCCTCAGGTCGCTCTGTCATGGCTGGAGAAGTCTCCCTGGGCATTCGTGGACTGGGTGCTCAGGGCCTTCCCTGTACAAGGAGCAGCCCTGAGCCCTGATGCTTTTTCTGTTGTTAGTCTTCAGCCATTACGGCCTCCAGTGAGGAGATTTTCCCTTTGGATAGGCTTTCTCCAGGCACACGGGTATCCCTGGCTGCAGCAAAGCGGCATGAATAGAATGTCGGGGTTACTAAGGACTGAGCGTGAATGTCTGTCAAGCATTTGAGCTTTCTGCTAACCTTCTCCTGGTGCCGGAGTGGGGAGGTCTGCCTCGAGCAAAGCACCTCGCTGGGCAGCTGGGGGGTGAGAACGCTTCTACCAACCTCCCCAGGAGAAGAGGCACATGTGGCTTATTACCTTTTTTGTACACCTTTTTTTGACCCTCGTAAACGTTTAATACAAACTTCCACGCAGGGCTCAGTCTGATTGCGCCGAGAGAAGGCAGCGCTGTGAGAGGCTCTGCCTTCGCCGGTGCTTACAGCATGTGCTGCCCCGCTTCCCCCTGCCCTCAGTGCTGTCCCCGTGCTAGGGGCTGCGTGTCCCCCAGCCATCCTGCTCCTGCCTGCAGCAGCTAACTGACCAGCCAGGCCCGCACCCTCCTGTGCTGCCCTGAGGTGTTCTTCCTTTCTCGCTCGGGCTTCTGCTGTGTTTCTGGGGGAATCTCATCAGCTGCTCATGCTCTGAAAGCTTTTTAGTGCTCCCTCTCCTCTCCCCTGCTCCTCGCTCTGCATCTGGACTTCGCCCCGGGTCCATTCCTGAGCATGTGCTGTGAAAGCAGGGCTCGTTTACATCTTGTGGGGGCATTTGCACCCTCGCTCTCCCTTGGCCCGGCTCTGCTGGTATGCCTGCCCCCTGCCATTGAGCCTTGCCTGGGCTTGCCCTGATGCTGCTGTGCTGTATTTGGCCACGGCAGCCTGGTCCAGCCCGATTCACCTCTGGGAACCTGCCCCAGAGCATCCCTGTGCTCAGAGGGGCTCAAGATGGCTTGTGGGGGCACGCAGCACCCCAGGAGCAGAAGGTAAAGCCAAGGATGCCCCCCACAAACTTCGCAGCTGCTGGTGGAAACGGGGAAATA